AAGTCAGAACTCTGTTGCCGGTTAAGCAGGTTCCTGCTACCAACATTCGGGTGGGGTTTTTTGCAAATCTAAGTTTTAGTAAGGTTTCCGGAAAACTTCACTCCAGAACGCTCCGATCAATTCCATTCAACCGAAGCAATTTATCGAAACAGCTGCTCAGATTAGCTCCCTACCGGCAAAACCAATCAAGACGTCAAGTGGGTCAGCATTCTCCGCATTGGTGAGATTTTGAATTTTATCATCATGATTTTCAAGCATTTCATTAATTAGAGCATGTTCCACATATATGCTGCTTTCCATTTCTTGAAAGTGGCTTTCAATATCGTTGTATTTTGTCTAATTTTGGGGGAGTATTAGCGCAGTGGCGTTTAGCTATTGGTGCAGTGTATCGAAGGCGATTTTATAAACGATGCACTCGTTCGATTCCCTCCCAGCTTTCTCTTAGAATCAGCCATAGAACGCTTTAGCTCCGCTACCTCGAAAGTAGTAAGGAGAATCGTCTCGGCCAGATTTCCGTGGCATTCGTGGTAGCAGAAGGAATTCTCAAGCAACGGCCGAAGTAACACGAGAAGTGCTGGAGGATCTTCGTGGAGAATAAATGCGTGGAAATGAATCGAATGCTAGAAGTGCTGAATTCCGCCGCATTCATTATTCTATTCTCTATAAAGAATTTTCATGGGATATAGTTCCGTTTTGATGGTTTTTCTTTCAATACTATTATATCTACACCGAAAATTGATGCTAATTTAGGCTAAAATGGCCCCAAATGAGCCTTCAGAAGTGGAGTTCTTCATCACAGCGAGACGCATATCACACATTGAATATTCTGTGACATTTTCCAAATTGAAACCGAAATCAATTCGATCCAAGGTAAGAACTAATTCTAAAAAAATTAGCTACTGGTGAATTTTACATTTCTTCAGGTCGATACTACAATTTGTCTCAGTGCCAGTTTACTGCTGGATTCAGCATCAAAGAATGCCTCGCTTCAACTCACTCTTGGCGACTCACAAATCCTTAGTGTTTCATGTGCTGGTGTTGTTAAAGCGTTACAAAGTGGCGACTTCGGTAAGTTAGTTTTCGTTGACCTTGAGGTTTTTCGTGAGTATACGGACCACTTCATATTTTATGGCGGCGTTCTGTCTAGAAAATCGAATTCTTCTCCGTCCGGTAGCACAGATTTTCAACCTTATCCCCTACGTTCGGCAAGAGTTCTTCATAAAAAGTGTTAGTAGCCATTCGAAAGCTTAACTTTCGAGCTATCTGTTTAAGTGGCCGGTTTTTGAAAAGACCCTTTTGTAACTCCGAAAAATTAACTTTTCAACTGTCAGTAACTATTCTATAGCAGGAAATTTTCCGATTCCAACGCTGTGCTTATTTTCTCAACACACCGTTCCTCTGCAGTCCAGCAGTGAAATAAGAGTGGGTTCGCATGCGCGAGCAAGTGTTCTTGTCCAGTTCACGGGCCGCTAGGTGGAACAACAGTGGGGGTTGCTCAATTATCAATCGGTTTTTGACCGTCTTATGCTAATGGAATCTTTGCTTCTTAATAGGATTGTTCCTTTGTTTTGAAAGAAACACTCCATATAAAACGGAAAACTCTACTAGAAAAAGACATTAAATACTTTTATTTCGCCGTGAGTACGGATAAATCAATGATCATTATGATCACCTTGATGGAATTTAGGAGACCAGAAAGTCCTAATTGCTTCCAACAGTCATCCGAATACATTCAGATACTACGAGATCTCACCAGCTCCATATGCTCAAAAATCGATTGATCATTGCGTCAGCCCACTTCGCTTCCTCACCCGCGTCCCGTGAATTGGCCAAAGACCATTTGCTCGCGCATGTGATTCAATCATATTTTCACTACTTTGTTGTCGAGAAGCGGTCTTTTCAGAATATAAGCAGAGCCTTGTAATTGGTAAATTTCACGCTATCGAATGATTACTTATAGTCCAAAGAAAGAGCTCTGTCCGGCGAGAAATGTGCGCGTGTGAAACATAATCTTGTTTTAGAAAATCGGCTACGGATACGGATAGTTTGGGACTTGAGTTTTCGAACGATTACTAACACTCTTTATGAAAACTTATTCTTTAGCATAGTGGAATAGGCTTGCAGATCTGTGCTACCAAATAGAAATGAACCGAAGATCATTCATGAAAACTTAGTCTGATCGATCTTATGCTTTATGTCTTGGTAGCTGTCTTTTTGTTATTTGTTTCATGACTCTGTCTGTGTCAACCAGCCGAATAGCTAGAGGGTTGTACCGCACGAGTGAGATGTATTAGATTTAATGTAGAATTCTGTATTATTCGGCATTGTTACATAGACCATTTCGTTGATTACATTTTGTTTGTTGTTCAACTTTATTTAGATGCTTAAGTGATCCGTCCCAGCGGTCTTGTGGCTTACTGTCAATGCAGTCTTTATCCTGAAGTGTTTTGCATGTTGAGCAGTTTTTTTCCTTCTGAGATTCTGAAATTTTTGTGAGGCGACTTTGGAGACCACAATCTTTCACATGTCATCGTAAACTTTGCTATCTATCGGCCGTAGTTGTGGCTGAACAAAAATTATTCAGGACCGAGTATACTCTTTTCTGGACTTTCACATGAGCGTGTCTACTTCTTATCTAATTATGCTGGCTTTTTTGAACAGTTATCCCTTTCTGACGTCGAAATTATTATGTAGGGACATTACTTTGTTAGGATGTAAGAAACTGCTGTGGACTATATATTTATGAAAGCTCCAATTTCTCAGATTTCAAAAGAAATAATCCGCTTTTATTTCCTGTGTGTTGTCATCCTATACCATTGTTCATTTCTGAATACCTTATTGAACTAGAATCACATAATGAGTAGTAAGAAGTACCAACAAATGTAATGTTTCAGTGGTGATGCGAGCTCGTCCAGCAGATCCAGACTGCCCTAGCGTTGTTGAGTTGTTAACGTCTCCTGAAGCTGTTGAATTTATCAGAAGGTAGGGGCTTTGTGATGCTTTTATGGTTCTGTTTATTGTTTTTCTTCTTTTTTTCAATTGTTAGGGATGTCATGGTTTTAGATGTGATATTTGTGAGGTAGATCTGAACACGAAAGAGGCTAGCGACGCTCATTTCTTGTCTGAGGATCATGAGACTGCTCAGGTAAGCTGCTCCTCTCAACACATCACCTTTTCTCATACACTTATAGAACCTGACAAGCTATATGTATTGTTACGATTACAATGAAGTAATCGTATTTAATTACAGTTAACAATTCCTCTACCTATGGCTGTTCACAATTCTCTTGAGAATTCCATGCTACCTATGGCCACCATGCCGTTACAGAGGTATTTTTGTTCACATCTTTTTACTTCTCTAAATATCCATTTATATATCTGGAACTGCACTTTAATTCATCTTATCTCAAGGAGGATTGTGAAGTGTTTCATAGAATTCGAAGTTCATGTATTTTAGGAAAGACGAGCGAACAGATTTCACATGTAAATTATGTGGACGGAAATTTCTTGATATGGAACCTTTGGTGGCACATATTCGCTTAGAACACGAACGTGATCATCCACAAGGAATTACCCGTCCAGTAGCCAGAACTGCCCCGATTCATTGATCTGATCTCGAGTTAATTCTTTTGCTGCAAATATTGTAATTGCTATGTTACGAGTCGTGTTTAACTGGTTCATCTTTAGAAGTGAGTTACAAAGAATATTTAGAGTAATATACTACGAAGAGTTGTCGAAGAGGTGGTTCTAAAAATACGGAGTTTCATCTTAATAAATTTTACAAAATATTCACGACTTTGTTGAGACGACCAGTTCGTTTGTGTTGAGTCATTGTAGATAATCGCGAAAAAGACATTGTATGTATAGGAAGGAATCATGTAGAAGATATTATGAAATTACTGGAGAACGTACCGTCAGGGCAAACATTCATTAAAGAGAGTTCTCAATGACGCCATGAAGTCGAGCAATTCTGGTTTCCGAGTAAATTAATTCAGGAAAAGCTTCGAAACACTCATTTAACTTCCAAAGGAAGTCATCTATATGATTCTTCGTTGGTATCGTACGTCCCTTATTAGGAGCGTTGTCTGCCACCTATGCGAATTTTTTATAAGAGAAATGATTTTTCTTGCTTACTGGTAAGATGAGCTGATAACGATTGGTATCAAAGCGATATGTCAACGTTGGTGAAGCTCTCTCTTATCGAATGCACTGTGAAGTAATTACAGTACACTGAGAGGGTGTAATTATGTGATCAGCGCCAGCGATTTGCTTTGGTGGAATCTGTTCAGCGAAGCGTTAACTGGCATGGTTTTCTTTCTCTTTTTGATTATCTTCAATCTAAATGTCCAATTCTCGGATCTAAGTACTGTTTAGTTTACCGCGTAATCATTTTTTGATCTGCACAGATTTATTCAAAGAAGAAGAGACGCGGCTATGTCACTGAGAAATTGCATTCCATTAAACGATTCAGGAAGCGTACGTTTTCTTCTCCATAAGTTTATTGAGATGTGCATTTGGGATATATGAAACGGAGTTTCAAATTCAAAAGTTCGACTTTCTATAAACCTCGGCATAATCAATTGATATATGAAAATGGAGAAAACTTATCTTGATTAGCTGACGCGAGGTTGATAAAACAGTTGTAGAAATTCGGCTGACGTTTCGGCGACCCGCCTTCTTCAGAGCCTGGACGTATATAGTATTAGTCTAAGACTAATACTATATACGTCCAGGCTCTGAAGAAGGAGTTTCAAATATTAGCACTGCAGAAAAAAAAGAAGAAAACAGTATAGAGAGAAATTTGCGGTCAGATAGGACGATGTTAAGCAGTTTTCTGTGTATACCTAAGAAAACTGAGTGATGAGCAAAAACACGGCCTCAGCCGGGAATCGAACCTGCGTTTCATCCATACCGTGGACGCGTGCTGCTACCACTACACCACTGGTCGGTAACTGATAGCTCACATAGAGATGTTGAAGAATGAATGGTGAAGCAAATGTGCCTCGGTGGTGTAGTGGTAGTAGCACCCGTTAACGTTATGGATGAAACGCGGGTTCGATCCCCAGCTGAGGCCGTGTTTTCGCTCACCACTCAGTTCTCCTAGGTATAAACGAGACATCATAACAGTGCGGAAAATGCAGTAAAAATATTGGAAATTTTGAGTTGTCTGTGTGTTGGGAACAAGTGCCGGGACTGCTCATTAGAATTGGCTATACTAGGACGTGAATTGTCATTATCTCCAACTAAAATCGGAACTACAATTCTTTTTGTTGTGAGAGTAAAAATTGAAGCCTTATGGAAAGTAGTGTTAAATTTAGACATATTTTATGTATAAACACCATTGTAGAAATTGAATTTTTAATATAGTCTTACCATTTGCTTTGTCATTCCATACTCCAAATTTTTTATAATCTAACGCATAATTTGTTGTAATTTTACGTTGGATTGTCCCATAATTCCTTTCGCATTTCGACACTTTGGTTTATTCAATTGTTAGCTGTATATAGAAATCAGCTAATCAGCAATGTAATAACCATCATGATCAAATATATGAAATCATTTGCTGGGTAAAGATTAGATGCATTCGAACAAAATAATCCTAGAAAGAATGACTCTGGCGATCAAAGAAGTCGGCGTGAGGTTACTTTTAAGCTGCTTGTAGTCCCTATTTTCTTCCATAATTACTGCACCAGGGCGCGGAAGACATGATAATCCCGTGAAGCAACATCAGGGCTAAAAGGTGGTTGTGGTGCCGTGAACCGGCCCAGTTTCTCCAAAATGTAGAAGTCTGTTTTGTGAGGTGAGGTTCAGAGTTATACTGGAGAACGGGGCGACACTGAGTCGTTTCAAACGTTTCTCTCGCACTGCTGCGGCCAACATCCGGAGTTATTTCTTATAGTCTTCGAATTGATTGTCTGCTTGTTCTCGAACAGTTCACAAAGCAGCTGCCCGCCAATCCCAGAAAACCGGGAGCATGATCTTCCGTGCATGGAAGTTGTGCTTTGGCTGAGCTGACGGGCCTGGGTGCTGCTATCTTGGCCCTAGTAATCTAGTATCCTGTCTTTGGCTACAATCGAATTTTAACATACCACAGCCGATTGACAACAATAGGATTTGAAATCTGAAAAAAGACAGAATAAAACAGTAGTGACAAAGAAGGTATGGCACAGTTCAATGATTATTTACCAATAGAACGCTTGATTTTTCATCATGTGCTGTCATGTTAGTGAAAGATATTTGCCTAATTAAATAAGCTTTTCAATTCTTCTGAATAATCGGTCCTCATAAAAGCACCTCATATCGGAATAGGTTTATGTTTATGGATATATAGTGGTTAAGTGTCGAAACAATTATGAGATTAACTAGTCGGCATATGGTTTTTGCCGTTCGCCAGTCTTTCATAAAAGACCAGGTGTGAAGATGGTTACCCATACGCCTGGATTACGGTGGCGTCAGCTGCTCAATAGTTTGCTTAGCTTCTTAGCTGGCCGTTTCTGGTCATGTTAAGTGCAGGTGTTAATTACCGAAACTTGACCCGACGACTCGTTTTTTTATGGTCGTAATTCATGCGAATAGAGATTTTGATTTGAGAAAAAAACATCAATAAAACAAGAACAGGTAAAATAATAGCAGTGGAGGTCATACGCTAATGTAATAATCTTGTCAAATAAAGCGGTTATTACTAGTTGCCGTGAAAAATCGTTCCTTAAAACTTTCAAAGTTTGAGAAATGTAAAACACTGAGAAACAGAGGATAGTTAAACCAAGTAAAATAGCAGTATTGTTAGAAGTTAATCGTAAACAACCAGCTTTATGATGTAGATGGAAGTTTTAGTGGTCTAAGCGAACATTACTTTTACCGTGTTTACGAAAAAAAGCAGTATTATAAACAGATTCGAATTGGAGTCTATTAACACACAAATGGCAACAATGGTGCTTCACTTTCCACCTGCAGTGTTTACAAACACAGCTATAAAAAATTGTATGTTTAAAAATGTTGAGTGCTAGACAGAACGTCAACTTCAGTTCAGAACTGAACCCACGTCGTACCCTTTCGTAACGCAAGCTATCCACTACACCATTGGATCGCTTGCTCTACTACTACTCTTTCTGCGATTCAAGGTATAGATTCTGTCAGAAATTAAGCGTCAACGACTTAGCCCTGGTAAGCATATTTCGACATCAACCTTTTGCGGACGGCTGTTGATCGTTTTCTTAAACGAAGCACGATTTTCGCTATTTGATAGGCAATTTTCCTTCGCTTTAATTTCCTCTCTTCCCTATAGCGAACTATGAAGACCTCAGAAACAAAGCCTGGCTTCGTAATCACCAGATTCGCACTATCAAATGAATGATAGTACAGTCTAACAAAAGCTTACCAACAAACCTTTGTGGTGTAGTTGAAGCACTCTGAATGTAAAACATTTTTTCGTTGCTACAGGGCTCATGCCTTTTCAAAAGCCAAATACAGCATTGAAGTCGCCGAGAATTGAGCTTCCGAAGGGTTATCAAAACTCTGATAAAGAAGCTCGGCCACGGAAAAGTTGAGGGCCAGAATGACCTCCACCGCCTGCAAAGGGTTGTACCCAGTTAAGCTACTGGTTAATAGATATATGTAGTCGCCGAGAAATCATTATTCAACCTCTTTTCATAGCACTAATATGATATAACTATGTGTCCAATAATACTTTGTATCGTAAAGAGTGATAGCATAACAGGAGCCTCATTAGCGCAGTGGTTAGCATACACCCATGGAAAAGGTGAGACGTGGATCTAACACTCGCGTGAGGTTCAGTTTCACACATAATTCGATTAGTCGATATATATATATATATATATATATATTTATATATATATATGTATATTTATATATATAACATCTTACCACTATTTAAACGCGGATGGATGCGGAATTTTTAAAGCAAAAAGTAACCCCCTTCAGTTCAAGTGGCATGTAAATGTGTCAAAATTCGCAACGTCGCGCGACGAGACTTTTCATTTTCGCGGGCTGCTATAGAAATCCGGAAAATTATCTGATAAACTGAGGTGCTCGGGGAATATCGTCGTTATTGAATGATGGAATACCACAGTAGAGTCTTCTTCAAAGGTCTTTTTCCGTACAAATTCGCAGCGGAGAGTAACATAATTCAAGCTATAATAAAATATTTTTTAGCCTGTTTGTAACTAATTAATATCCTGAAAAGTGCCGATCTTGATTCTGAGCTTAGCTTCTGGAACGACACTTATGCTACGTTTTCCTTACAAAAAAAGATTACGTTTTGCCTTCAGAGTGCGTTGCTACTCTACGCCTGTTTTTTTTTATACTACGTAATGATTTCACACTAGGCAAAGTTAGCCGCTATGAAAGAAATATTTGTATCACGCGAACTTACTTATACGTATTTATAAAAAAAAACAATGTCTAGTTGATCTATAACTCCTTAATTTCTAATACGAAAACTACATAGTCAAGAAAATGGCGTACTTCAAACTCTCTTTCCATATTTCTTTCGACGATATTGTGTAAATGTACTTCGAAAATACATTTCTCACAATAAACGATTTTTAGAGATTTACTTAAGCGGGCTTTTTAGTATGTGGACAAAGCAATCTTTGATAACTCCATTTATCTACTTGAGTACTTCTTTGGAAAAGATCCAACAATGAATAATGTTTATATCAGAATATAGGTGGATGATGAAAGAATTTATTACCTACGAGACTGTAACACAACGACGTTTCTGCGTATCTATAGGAGACTCAACTATAAAGTCCGCTAATATTTAAAGTTTGCTCCGAATTGTGAATATAGTGACGTATATAATGTGCAGCATCTTTTTCGACGAAAAATTCATTATTTTGTGGTTGTATTGGCATATTCTGGCCAAAACTAGCCTTATTGAAGCGTCTTATATCATATTTTCTTATTTAGCAACGATTCGAATTTTCTTAGTGGCATTATAAATCTAGACTTCATTAAAAAGCTACCACATTGTCATTGCAACGCCTTGTACTTGTCGCTCTTATCGAGCGATCCTGCCTCCTGTCGCCTAACGTGTGAAAAAACAACGTGAGAGTCAAGGGATTAACTGAAGAAGGTGTCTTTTTGGGATAGTGACAACGCTGAAGAGAAAAGCAAAGTAGGTGGAATGTTTACATCCACAAAATCGAGGGCTCAACATCCTAGTGTTCTGCACATGATTGATACGTATCGATTGCTACGCGCATACAGGTTTTACTAGGAGAGAAACGTCTTGTTGGCACGATGTCCTGGATTCTCACCATGATGCTGTTTAGTGTCAAATCATGTATTGCATTTTCGTTGTTCATCTTTGGAAGAAATTTTTTAGGTCATCGCTCAACTAAAGTCTTCCATGGGGTTCTCTCATATCAAAATACTGTAGTCAATTTCTAACACGAGATTTTCATTAAGATCTCTCTCCTTGGAATGCTCTGTTCCATGTTCATGGGTCATCATCTAACACGCATACATAACCATGATGTAGTGAGTGCAGTGATGACCTATGTGCACGTTCCTGCGTTGGACAACGCATCCGGCTCTTTCGGACGTCGGCGTATTCCTTAGTTGTGTTCTATGTTTTCGGTAGCTCTCCTGTTGTTCGTCGTGTTCGTCGGCCGCTCGTCGTACTGTCCCACTTCCGACCTGGTCTATTTGCGATAGCATTAGCAAAACAACGACTTAACGCCATGTGAGGTGAAGAGAAGATGCACACGGCTACCAACGGATCAACAGTCGTTGACTTACAAAATCCTACAGATAAACACTACTCTGGGCTGAACATGGGCAAACCCTCGACGCTCAAATAGATAGATAGATCTCTAGTATGCCTCAATGAGTAAACACAGAATTATTAACTCCGAAAAAAATGTCAAAGAATAGAAGACACAATTTTTTTCACCTATTAATTGAATGTGATGTAAACTCTTTTGCCTTTTCTTTTTTCTGCTTTTCAGTCAAAGTACTGATACAGCCGATGTGTAAATAGAATTTTCGAATAAACTAGTCGAATGAGTTAGCATTTTCTAAGTGTGAAAACGTGTTTCTCTATGCCTT